CTTACCTGCTCACTGAGGTGCTGATGTGGTGGGTTTGCAATGGAATTTCATCCCAGCACTGAGAGACCCCCCCGCTCCCCCAGTGAAGTCATAAATGACAGGAATAACATACTGAACTAGACATAATCCACAAGGATTCTGTATATTTTATTTATTTGAGTCAAATACTGGTCTCACCAAAGTCTCAGGTAGGGCAACAAAGGGAATCAAAGAGCTCAATTCAGAGAGTTGTTCAGAAGCAGGAAGTGGCACCAACTGTTATTCTACCCCTGGTGATGTGGACAGTCTTCTAATCCATAGGAGATGGCTTGTCCAAAAATTGTGTTTGATGGCTGGTTGTCCAAATGTCGAATAGACCAATATGTCATAAAGAGCAAGAGGACCCATTTTCACAGAGCAAAAGCTAGCGGCCCCATTGCCACACTGTTCGGGGCCCAGAGTTTCTGGTCTCCCCACCGGGATGGCTGCCATCTTTGTCTGTCTTGGGAGACCAGCCAGGCACCTGCATTTTCCAGAGCCTCTTGCTTCTCCGTCAGTTCCTGCTAATCTTAGAACAAAGTGGTTTAGCTTCTAAATTTTAAACTTTCCTTCCAAAGTCACTATGTACCTGAATTAAGAGGGTAATTTTTTTTTCTTTCAAAATGGAGAGTTCATACTTGGGCTCCAAAAATCCCATTGGGCACCCCTGCAGGCTGGCAGCCCACAGCTCACAGCACATTACCAAGAGTGAGGATGGTCTGTTCCGCTGGGTATAGAAAGGTTCTGTGGCTTGATTACCACTGTCCCCCACCTTGTTCAGGAGGCTCAGTGAGCAAGCAAGTTCCAGTCCCCTCTAGGGGTAGAGAGAAACATGGGTGTGATTTCCATTGTTTCTTGCTGGCTCCTGAGAGAGGTGTCATACCTGGGTCATCATGTGACTGAGATGTGTGGGGGCCAGCCCTGGATAGGGTCAGTTAAGAGGCTGAGAAAGAGGACAACAGATGCTGATGAGGCCAAGAGAGCCAATGACAGCCTTTCCTACCACTGAGACGAAGCACTGTCCACACATATCTTGTGTCCCTCACTTCCATGTCTCCATGTTCTCTCTCCTTCCCCGGAGTCCTTGTAAGTGAGGGGTTAGCCGAGATTTGGCGGGGCCCACCTCCTTCTCGTTGGTCTCCTGGGCCTTACCAGCTAACTATAGTGGATATTGCTCTGATCTTCTGCACAGCACTGCTTGGAGGGAAGAGGCATCTGTCTCCCCCATTGTAGAAAAAGAAGTGTCCTAAGTCAAAGGAAGACAAGGCCGGAAATCAAGAGAGGATCAGGGACGCCACGGGGGTGGGAATGTGGCATGGGCCTAATGGAGATGCCATCTCAGCTGCCCCTTCTCCCAGTCCTGCTTGGGGGACTCTCCCCTTGTCAACAGAATGGGAAACAGGGTGGAGGCACTTCAAGTGCTTGGCAGGGAAGGGAGGCGCAGGGAGCAGAATGATTTATAAATCCTCCTGAGAGCAGAGAGCCACCTTGCCATCAGTTTTATAGCTGACTAGCCCAGCTCTTGTGGACAGACCTGTGATGTCTGCATTATCACAGCTTCCCTGCACTAACCCCTTGTACTTTTGTAACGTAGGGAAGAGAGAGATTAATTGTATGGTGAAACTCTTCAGCAATCTGCATTCCTGACATTAATCTTTCCCCAAGTGCCCTGTCATTAACTTGAAAAATCAACCGGGCAAAACCTTAGAGAAGGTTCATGCAAATGGAAACGCATAAATAGTGCACAGGATGAGATGGGGCAGGGCTGTCTGGCTGCCTGAGGATCTAGCAAGATGATACATTAAGGCTTTTTCCAGAATGCTCCATCCATGGAACGTGTCATTTATCCATAACCCTGGACTGTTGAGTTAGAATTGCTTATTTTGGGCTTGCGCCCGGTAAGAGCATGAAAAACATTTCCATCTTCAGGTTTTTTTCAAATTATGCAAATAAAAAAATCACTTTCTCCCTCAGTCTCCAAAAGAAAATCTCATTCCTCTCTCCATTTGTGGAACCAACCAGCTGCTTTTACCTAAATTGTCTTCGATGTGAAAAGAGAAAAAGCAGAATACGTTTCTTTGGAGATTTTCCCCCGTGGTAAGTGTTCCGTGACGCCAAATTTGATTAGTCTGATCGTATGTAAAATTGGCTGGAGCGCTCATTGATGTATTAATTTTGGAACTTTCAGATCTGCTTTTCCCGATAAGGCTCTTCCACACATGAATGTGCTCTTATGTAAATACAGCTCTCTGTGCTGGCAAAATCATGGTGATGAGCCAGATGGGAAAAAACAGGTTTCTACCGAGGAGAGATGGTTCTCAAGTGGGGGGTTGGTGGGTGTGGATTTCACCCCAGAGGCAGCCCCAGGTGAACCCCAGAGACGTAAGGGTGCAGACCGTATGTCTCTAAACTGGACACTCCTCTGTAAGTTCACGTTGTAGGGTTTTTGCTGCAGAGTTTGGCAGGACACATTGGTAACTTGGAGATGATGAGGGGTAAGGGTGCGCCACTGTTTCACCTGCTGGTTTTGAGCCATCTCTGGTGTTTATGGGGAGCCGAGTGTCCCCAGCAGGGACCCCACTCTTCCAGGGTCACATTGGCCTGTCACCTGATGTAGCAGAGCCAAGGATGTGTAACTGAAATACAACTAGGCTAAAGGAACAGCCATAACTAGAGATTCTTAAAAAGAGAGACTTAGGGATTTGCTCAGTCTGTTTTTCTAGGTTTAGTGGAAACCTAAATATATAAATCGCATCAAACCTGTCATGTTTGTGATTGAAACCAAAATTAAGGTAGGATTTGAGATGAAAAGTGACTCAGCACTGACCAGATTTTGTCCTTTGTAAGTGGTAAGTGATCACAAAAGTTAAAACTTAGCAGAAGCTTAGATTTAAGGGTTTGTTTTCAATTACTCATGCAACTAATGTTTCTTTAGAGCCTCTAGGCTGTGCACCTCACTATTGAAAGAGGCAAATGGTCAAGAAGCTTATAATTTCAACAGCCCAAGACAAACACTTAGATAATAGATAATGTAATCACATACAAACAGGTCACACGTGGACTCTCCCGAGAAAACCTTCTTGTCTCTGGTCTGCTAATGTCTATAGCCAGGAAGAACAAGAGAATGATTAGACGTCATGATTAGAGATTTGCTTGGACTCTGATTACTAACTAAATTAATAGCTTATTTTTATTTTTTAAGTGTATTTATTTATTTTGAGAGAGACAGCATGAGAGGGGGAGGGACAGCGAGGGAGAGAGAGAGAATCCCAGGCAGGCTCCACACTGTCAGCACAGAGTCTGATGAGGGCTGGAGCTCAAGAAACAAGTGAGATCATGACCTGAGCCAAAACCGAGAATTGGAGCTTAATCCCCCCAGATGCCCCAATAATTTGTTTTTATAAGCTAGATGTTCAGCTGAAGTCAAAGTCATTTGTGTGCAAGGTAAATATGTTTGAATCTTCACACTTTTTAAAAATAACATCAAGGAGTCAGATTGGATTAAAATTTGGTGGAAATTTGCCTATTCAGACCATTTCCTTAAGCTAAAAGTAATAATTAATACCTATGTAGCACTTATTAAATGCCAGGTCCTGTTCTAAGACACACACACACACACACACACACACACACACACACACACACACTTCATTTATTTCTCTTAAAGCAATCCTATGAAGGGCATATAGTCACCATCTGCACGAATGAATGAGGGGTGGAGGAATGTGTCACCTGAAAAGATGAGATTTTGTCATGAGGATTATTTTGAGCTGAAGGTAGTTGAAAAACAGCAGGTGCAGGAAAGATGCTTGTCCCTCCCCTTTCTTCCTACGGCAAGAGCTACCCCCCCAGTGAAATGTGCCCTCCCTGAACCAGGAGGACAGAGACATTTTCATCCCCAGGGATGAGAGTGGAGGCGGAGAGAAATCTGTATAAACAGACCGTGTCAAAATAACCACTTCCTTTTGTCTCCCCTTATTTTTTTGGTTACTTTCCCTCAGTTGCCTTTGTTGAACCAACTCTATGTTTTTGCCACTTCTTTGGGTCTTCGTCTTCCTATAGGGCTTCTGTGTATAAGTGTACACACCTGTGTGCTTCTCCTGTTACCCTGTTTTAGGTCATCTTAAATCTCAGGCACAGCCAGAGACCTACAGGGCAGAAAGGTTTGCCTCCCGGACATCAGCAAATGTGGCGGTTCAGCCCAATGGAAGTGATAATAGAAGACTTCATCAGGCTAAGGACTCAGGGTGAGGGCGGTCAACCCCACAGATGGTCTCACATTTATCAAATTCATACCACAGACCCTGGAGATAGAAAAATGGTCAAGTCCTGACTCTTACCCTATGGTGTACCTTCTAGAAAGAGATGGATACTACACAGACACAGAAGAGCATGGAGTGGTGGCCTTATGGAGGATGGAAAGCCCCGAGGGTGGGCGGGGCACGATTCTGCCTGGAGGCTTCCCCAAGCATTTGACATAATGAATTCTTGGGTTGTCTGTTTCTGCAAGCTGCTTGGGCAGGTTGAAGTCACGTCTAAGGATTCCCCAAATTCTGACCATTGATTTGAGGCAATACAGTCATCCCAGCTGTGATCATTTTCCAAAGAGAGCCATAAACAAGGTTACAGTATCCTTAGAAGTAAGAAAATGCATTCCTGGGTTTATTGCATCTAATGTGAAGATCTTGGTCAGCACCAGAAGGAGGGAATGGAGTTAATGTCCTTCGTTTAAAAGTCGAAGAGAGGGGCGCCTGGGTGGCTTAGTCGGTTAAGCGTCCGACTTTCGCTTGGGTCATGATCTCGCGGTTCGTGGGTTTGAGCCCCGCGTCGGGCTCTGTGCTGACTGCCAGCTCAGAGCCTGGAGCCTGTTTCAGTCTGTGTCTCCCTCTCTCTCTGACCCTCCCCTGCTCACGCTGTCTCTCTCTCTCTCCTAGAAATAATAATAAAAAAAAAAAACATTAAAAAAAAATAAAAGTCGAAGAGATTACAGGTCTCTGGGGATTGGCTGAGACCTCCTCCCAAGTGCTCTCCTCCTATTCTGGTCATGAGAAAATCCATCAGCAGCAGTCCCGGACATTCACTCCTTATCCGGAGTAATAAGACTATGAAAGGAAACAATAAAAGGAAATGGATACTTTTGAGAATTGTATAATCAAGTGGTTTTAGTAATGACTTTACATTATTTTGCAAATGCTTTGCAGGGCCAGGGCTCACAAAGAACTTCATGACAGCAGTGGATTGTTGGTAAGTTTGTGTGGATGGTGTGGTCTAATATCACGTGTGTGCTTGTGTGTATCTGTGCGTGATTTAACAGTCTCAAACAGCAATATGTAATGTATACACCCCCCAAAAATTCACCTAAGCCCCTTCTCCTAATCTGGTAAGATCAATCTCACTTTCACATTCACTCCTGTGAAACCATGCACATTCTACAGTTATTTACATACGCTGGCTCCATAAAGGGTAAGGTTGAATTCTTTTCCTAAAGCACACTGTACGTTTTCACATGCAAGCACTTTAATAGAATTTCAAGTATTTGTAGGTCACTAGCAATCTGTTCCAACTTTTAAAAGGTGCGTAAATTGAACGTGGTATTCAAATCAGTGAAGACTCCCTGAATTGGGTGCTCCTGGCTGTCATCTTGGGAGATGATGCCCATCTTAGTTTTGCCTAAAAATGTGCCTGAGGGAAACGTGTAGCCATTGACACTTTGAAACCTTTCCTGGATGACTGGGCACTGGCTTCATGAAAGATACATAGTAATCACAAGAAAAGTCAGAAGTTCCAATTAGAAGATACAAATCATCTCTACAGAATGAGAGGCAAACCATGAGCCAGAGCTTCAAGCTCACAGCCCTAAAAATCCTGTGTCACTTGATCGCTCTCAGTCCACACACTCTACTTTGTCTGCATTAGGGAGACACTGAAGTGATATTCCTTCCTCCACCGGTGGAATGGCTGAGTCCCTCAGCGCTCAGCACTGTGGTTGTGAGGGATTCACTTCCCAGAGTCCTGGAATCCTGGCAAACAGAGATACAGGGATGCTAGAAGCTGTCAGTGCGGAAGAAAGGCAACATTTCTCACCTCCTCTAAATAAGATTGTTCTAGTGTGCTTTCATCATATTCTTTGTTTTATTTTATTTTATTTTTTAAAGTTTATTTATTTATTTAGAGAGAGAGAGAGAGAGAGAGAGAGAGAGAGAGCAAATGGGACAGATTGAGAGGGAGAGAGAAACCCAAGCAGGCTCAGCACTGGCAGCACAGAGCCCAACAAGGGGCTCCATCCCATGAACAATGAGATCATGACCTGAGCTGAAATCCAGAGCTGAACTCTCAACCAACTGACGCACCCAGGTGCCCATTTCATCATATTCTTTGGAAGGAAATATGAAAAATGAAGACACTTTATTTACATTCAAGTACAAAAATCTTTCTGAAAGACGTGTTGGTGAGGTTGTGGAGAAATTGGAACTCTCATTCATTGCTGGCAGGAATGCAACACAATGTGGTCTTTCAGAAAACACTTGGACACATCCTCAAAATGTTAAACGTAGAGTTACCATGCCACCGGACAGCTCTACCCTGATGTACACGCCCAAGAGAACTGGAAACTCATGTCTACGTGAAAACTTGAACACTGAAGTTCTCGTTGGCATTTTTCATAATAACAAAATTGGAAATAATCCAAATTTCATCAACAGATGGATGGGTAAACAAAATGTGTGTTTTTGCACAGTGGAATATTTGATATTTTGTAAAAAAAAATAATGAAGTACTGATCCATTTTACAACATGGATGACCCTCGAAAACACTGTGCTAAGTGAAAGAAACAATATCATTGTTCACATACTGAGGGATTTCTTGACATGAAATGTCCACTCGAAGCCAACCCAGAACCACAGGCAGTAGGTCAGTGATTGCCTGAAGCTAGAGTGGGGAGGCCTGGAGCACAGAGCTGAGTCACCCTGAAGGGCTTGTTTTGGGGTGATGCCGAAAACCCAGTGGTGATGGCTTTACAACTCTGTGTGTAGATTAAAAACCACCAAACTGTACACGTTAAAAGAGTGAGTGCTGTGGTTTGTGGATCATAGTTTGATAAAGCTGTTATAAACATTTTTTTTTGAGCTGCTTTAGATAGTCCAAGCCTATGTCCCTCTGCATTCCTGTAGATGATCAAGATTTAGGTTGTATTTTGAGACGTATTATAGCCCAAAGATGAAATAAAGCAGTCTTCAAAGATAAACAAAGACAACAAAGCAATAAGAAGTATTTTTTCACATGTGTTAGGATTTCATGTTTTCAAACATCTGAAGGGAATCATCCATAAAATGAATCAGAATGATAATAGATATGTTTTTGCAATTCTTTCCCAGATGGTCTTATACAAACACGTTCCGGGTGATGATAAATACAGAAGCTGGTGGAGTTTCCTGCTACGAGAGTAGGTTGGAGATGAGGCCAGAGAGCAGGTCCTCAGAGGGAGAATTTTTTACTTGTGTTTTCTAGGCTGTGGACTGTGTGTTAGTTGAGGGAAGGATTAAATGGTTTATTATTTTATAGTTGTTCCTCTGTCGGGGGCACCTTCAACCAGCCATTAAATAAATATGCTTTTATCTCAGAGATAATATAATTTTAAAGAATGCCCCTCCCCCTGGAATGCCATAGGTGCTTGACAAATACTTCATGAAAGAACGGAGGAAGTAATAAATGCACGAATGGATAAATATGGGCTATGTACAAGGGGGCATCATGGTGGACCCCTGACCGTACTTCCCAAGTTGGCTTCTTCCTTCGCCTCCAGGAAGAGCTTTGGAATTTTGAAGCACTTTCAAGAAATGAAATGATGCTAAAATATTTGTGGTCTGGTTTATGTGCAACGTGTGTCCCAGAGGGTTCTGTTTCCCGGCTACAGAGTTGGCGATGTGAAGAGCTTTGAACATAATGACATGACAACATACTGTGGTCCAAAATGAGAACAATGTTTCCTGAAAAGTGTCCTGAAACGTAATTATTTTGGAGTGAAACCTCGTTCTCAGTTACATCATGTAATCACAAAATACTTTCAAAGAATTAAAGCAATACTGAGACAGCATGGGACTTTTCATCAATCTTTAACTATTGGTTTTCCCTCCCCAGCCCAGGAAAACCACAACTCCCTATGAGTACATGCGCTTTAAAATGTCCCCAGTGGAGAACACACAATGCCAAGGTCAGGAGTCATATGTTCTACTGACTGAGCCAGCCAGGCACCCCTAAGCATTTGAAAAATAATACACTACACTACACTACACTACACTACACTACAATACAATACAATACAACACAACACAACACAATACAATACAATACACTATGATTTAAAGGACATGAAAGTCACCATTGGACTTTCTCTAGAACGTCATTGTCGCCACCAACATCTCCTTATGAGGTTAGAGTTCACAATGCAGGAGGGCAGAAACCTCAGGTCGAACCATTGATGTTTAAATATTTTGAGAATTCCTTACTGATTTATTTACATGAACTTGCACACTCTTGAGACCGGATAAGAAGTGAGTACATCAGAATTCTCCTGGGCAAATTCTTTGGTTAAAGAACATGCTGTGAAAATATTAGTCAATATCACAGTGTTTTACACATGGAAAAATATGACGCTGTCTGCCAACCCTCTTACTTCTGTGGTTCCAACAGTTATTGTAGTTTCCTTGACTATAGAGCACCTTCTTCCCACCCTCTGACAGCTGTCAGAACTCATGTAAAATAGAAAACCTCCATGACCTTCATTGGCAGTCACATGTCCATGTCCACCGCTCCTGTTCAGGGACCAAACCCCTCCCATATGGTCAAACTCCTTCATCCCATCAAGCCAAACTCTCTAGATGAATTCTTGGCCCCTTGGCTTTCCTGCCTCTCCTTCCTCTTCCTGGAATTTTCTTCTCATCAATATCTTGCTAGTTATTCTTTCACCCCAAATCTATTTATTCCGTAAAATGGTCTCTGAATAACAGATTAACAGACTACAAGTATATAGCTCTACTCTCAACACTTATCAGTGATTATCTGTATCAGACCCGTGGCGCACACATTTACAACTTTGTTTTGAAGTTAATTCGGGCACATTATGACAGGTGCAGATTATGTCTTCTCGGAACCCACGGACCACCCCGACTTGAGTTTTGCCAGGTACTTCACATAACCAGCCTTGCAATGAATATCCATTGACCGCATGAGTGAAGTGGGAAGAGAGGAAGATGTAGGCAGACGCTCATCTAAGAAGCATCTAAATGGTGAATGATTACACCAATGCAATAACACGTCGTTCTTCCTCTGACCTGTGTCACTGTTCTGGAAGTCGAGATCCTCTGGTCACTGAGTAATCAGATGTATGGATTTACTCCCTTGAAGAACTTTGATCGTTACACTCAAAGCAGAGATGAAGACAGAGCTGGGGCCAGCTTGCTTCTGTGTTTTGCAAAGAGGCAGGCTTCACGGATACCCTTTGGTCACGCAAAATGACCACCGTTGCTCAAAATCGTGTTTAAAATTTTACTTCAGAGTGCTTAGAAGTAACCCAGGGTGAGTGTGTTTATCTTGGGGTGACAATTTGATTTTGTAAATAAAATTGTACTTTTGGACTCTCTTATGTAGCAGGATGTTATAGGAACAGAGCCATAGGATTTCAGTGAGTGCCGCACGCACGTTCAGCCAGCTAGATTGTTTTCGAGTGGCTCCAACACAGACCACTTGGGTACAAAGGGTCAAACACAGTCCAAACAAATGCTTGACAATAATAGGTACAAAGGGCCTCGTGTCCTCAGTGAATGATTAATCATAAGCTATCATAAACAAAAGTGTTCTATACATTTGATAAACAGGTTTGTGAAAGTGTACAGGAAACACGGAAGGAAGTAACAGCTTTCCAAATTCAGGGCCAGCCATAAGGTAGCTGGGTGATACGTGGGGTCTTTAATATTTTTGAGGGTTTTCATGAACACTTTGAGTCAGGTTAGGGTGACTGCATCTACACCCCCAAGTGGGTAACATAAATGTGTCCATAATTAGCATGTACCCTGAGCATTCTTCTGTATTTTTTTTCTTTCTCTTCTCCATTCAGCGGATTATTTTATGTACATTCACTCCCAAGAGCCGCTGTAAGGGGACATTACTTTTGTTGAGCCTATGTATTTCCTCTTCTCGTGGGAATGAGGGAGCAATTAGCCATGACAACCGCCAGGACGGAAAGGCTGCTACACCCTTTTCACAAAAATAAAAAGGCAACACTGCCACATATTGAGAATAGTCGAAGAATAAAAGTGTGACTGTAAGAAAAAAAGATGGAGGACTTTTTGTGTGTGTGTGTGTGTGTGTGTGTGTGTGTGTGTGTGTGTGGATGTGCAGGGCATGTACAGAGCCAAGCACACGTGGCCCTCCCAAGTGGCCTGCTTGGAAGATTACACAAATCTTTTCCAACTTCCCAACAACTTTGCTGTAGCTCAGGACACTTCTGAAGTTTAACTTTTGGAGATTATATTGAGACTCACCTTGTAAGTCACATAGGAAAACGGTTTGCTTCCTCAGCAGGAGAGGAAGGGTAGGTTAGGGGCAGGATTATGAACACCTTTCTGGCTCCAGAAGAGAGGGAAGCGAGCCCACTGTACTGGCAAGGAAATGACTGTAGAAAGGAATCACGGGCTGACCGGGGGCTGGGCAGGCCTCAGGGACAATTGGAAATTACCACGAAAATGTAGATGAAGTGGGATCTGCTGGTGGTCTTGCTTCGGAGCGAGCAGTCACTGCATCCAACGGAAATGTTTGAGGGATGGCTCTGAGCCTCCTCTTCCCTGGGGAAGGAGAGGGCAGGCGCACCTGTCACTGCCTTCCCCTGCCACACCTCCCTCTCCCCCAGCACCACGGCCCCTCACGCTTGTATGGGCAAGAAAGCTGAACAACGCAAACAACACGACACATTAATTGCAGAACCTTTTGGTCGTGAAGGGCAGCATGTCTGGTTGACCCATGGAAAGGAAAGGGAAGGCAGAAAACATGCCTTAAATGTCCTCTACATTCTTTCTTTTGTATGTCACAACCATTTTTATAAAAAATTCTAGAACCTTTATTCTCTTCCTTCTCCTCTCAAGAAGACAGGTCTGAAGGATCCATAAATGGAGTTTCTCAGAGATTCATGTTTTCTCTACTTTATATCATGGTCCCTCCTGTAGGAAAGAGCCCTGAGTTGGTATGTCCCCCCGGCATGCCCCATGAGCCCCCCCCCCCCTGCACTGGCCTCCTCCGTGTCCCCTCTCTGGAGTCCCTGCTAGCAACGGGGCGTGGTCCCCTTCTGCGCTCTATGGTTGGGTCATGGAGATCAAAGCCCAGGGATATTACACATTCTATGATTTTATTACCATTTTGTGTCAAATTCATTTTATGCTATTCCTTTGAGAGGCCCTCTAATTCTCTGGAACTCTCCTGCTGAAGAGAAATCTCAACCCCCCAAAGTGGTGTAAGGATTAAAGGAGGTCAAGCGTGGAACTTGCATGTGCAGGGCTGGGGCATGGGGGGGACTCACTGGATGCATTATTCCTCCTTCGGAAACTCAGGCACTGGACCTCACTGATCTGAAGTCTGCCCCTGTAACTTCTACCCGTTGAGTCCAGGTATATCCCTGTGACCATATACAACCAGGATGGCCCTTGAACATTCTTCTATGTTTACTTTTGTCTGTGCTCAACAGCCTTATTTTCAATGGTTCTTCCTGAGACGCGACTGCTCTTCTCCTCTTACGTTCTAGTTTCCTTTTACCAGACGGGCGTTTTGAAGTGACCATTCTGATGGATATGCGACTGTATTTGTACGTCAAATCATCAGGCTATAAACTTTAAACATATGCAGTTTTTTAACTGTCAACTCTACCTCGATGAGGCTGGGAAATAATTTTTATGTCTGTCCCCTACTGTGATTCTGTTTTATAACTTATTTATTTTTATTTATTTTTTTAATGTTTTTTATTTATTTCTAGGAGAGAGAGAGAGAGAGAGACAGCGTGAGCAGGGGAGGGTCAGAGAGAGAGGGAGTCACAGACTCTGACACAGGCTCCAGGCTCTGAGCTGGCAGTCAGCACAGAGCCCGACGCGGGGCTCGAACCCACGAACCGCGAGATCATGACCCTAAGCGAAAGTCGGACGCTAAACCGACTAAGCCACCCAGGCGCCCCTATAATTTATATTTTATAAATGTATGCTTTCTGTTCTTAAACGTTCTCGAGCCAAACTGTACCCTAGCTGGTGTTGGCGATAGGAGCAAATCCGTACAGAATTCTCATTGTGGATCACGTGCGGCATGTGGCCTGTTTCCCTCACATCAGTCTCTGGGGTAGCAGCTTACCGCCAGGAGTTGGCAAACAAAAGCCACAGTCAAGTCCCACGCATGCGCTTTCAGATTCTGCCCAAGCTCACGTGGAAAGAGAAGGATAAAGCCAGGTTCAAACCCAGATTCAAACCCAGACCTGCCAGAGCCCACACTCTCTTCTGCATTCCTCTGTCTTTCTGGCTCTCTTTTTAATTCTGAATATGGCCCCAAGCTCCTTTGCGTCATCTCTATATACTCTGTAAGCCTAGCTCTTTGGAACCCCAACCTCGTGGCAGTATTTTCGGAGCCCTACCTTTCTCTGCTACCCTTACCTTTGATTATATGTCCATCTTTTAAAATTACGTCGATGAATGGCTAAGACCCCGCACCTGTCGATTATCTCTCTGACCACACCGGTCAGTCAACCTCGGTCTCATCAGGCATGTTCCCTTCTCTTTATTTGAATTGGGATTGACTTTCGAGGGATCGTCTTACCTTGCCTCAGAAAGTTTTGACTTGCCTTGCTGATGGCATGGCTGTATGTGTGACTTTCAAAAGCCTTTGCTCTCTGTCTCTGTCCCCCGGGGTACCTGTTTCTTCCCCGTTTTCCATCAGTAGTCAACATCAAAGCCTTTTCCATTTCAGGCTTCCAGATCGTATGGTCTCTGTCACAGCTGCTCAAATCTGCTGTTGTATTGCAAAAGCAGCCGGAAGCCACATGTAAATGAATGGGCAAGCCGTGTTCCAGTAAAACTTTATTCATAAACGTGTTCAGGGTGCAGGGTTTGCCGGTAGGCTAGAGTCGGCCTCCCCCTGCCTTAGGCTATAAAATTTCCTTTGGAAAATGGAAGCTTCGATCTAGTAGGAAACCATTATGGATTTGTGATTAAGTTCACCATAAAAACCATACTTCTTTTCCACTAAAATGAGCTCCTTTCCCAGATTTCCCTATTTCTGGCAACGACAGCCACATTTTCCAACTCATACACGTTAAAAAATGTAGAGCTGAATATTTGATTCCTCCTTTCTATTAACGGCCACATAGCCCACATCTGCGTGTTTCCGTTCTCCTAGCTACTGGGGCTTTATCATTTTGCATCTGTATTTGTACTCTTGGCTTTGAACTGATAGACTTGCCTTCAGGTTTTCTCTCCAACTCATCCTTAGCATGGCTTTTGGTTAATTATTCTGAAAATATTGCTTTTAAAAATTCTTTACTCTTGCGTCTTGAAAATCTACCAAACTCTGACCTCAATCTGCCTTTCTCCTTTCTTACTCTGCACAGACACAATAATGCTCCTTGCTTTCTTGTTCAATGCTCTGTTGGGAGGGGGCTGACATTTAAAAAAGCCAAGCGTATGCAATATATAGAGCTCCATGAGTGAAAACATTATCACTACATCACCGCCAGGGCCATAGACAGCTACGTCATCTCCCAGATTTCCCTTCTGTCTCCATTAGTATTATTGTTCTTATCATCATCATCATCAGTGTGTGTGTGTTGTTGGTAAGAACACTTAATATAAGATCTACCCTCTTAGCAGATTTTAAGTATAGAGGACAGTACTGTCCACTACAGGCACTATGTTGTACAGCAGCTCTCCAAACTTATTTATCTGGCAGATCTGAAGCTTTGCACCATTTGACCTTCACCTCCTCACTTCCCCCTGCCCCCAGGCCCTTGGCAACCACCTTTCTGTTCTCTGCTTCTCTGAGTTTGATTATTTAAAATTTGTATTTTATTATTTTTTATGTTTTTATTTTAGAGACAGAGCACAAACAGGAGAGAGGGGCAGAGGGAGAGAGAGAGAATCTGACGCAGGCTCAACACCCAACGCACAGACCGACAGGAGGCTCGATCTCACGACCCTGGGATCATGCCCTGAGCCAAACTTGAGAGTCGGGTGCTCAACCAACTGAGCCACCCAGGTGCCCTGAGTTCGACTATTTTAGATTCGCCATGTAAGTGAGCTCATGTGCTATTAGTCTTTCTGTGTCTGGCTTATTTCACTATTTGCAAATCAGATATCTGGTGAGGGGTTGATATACATATTATAAAAGTACTCACACAACTCAGTGGCAAAAGAATAAACGCTGTTTTCCTCTGCCTAAGGAGTCTGACCTGCCGTGTTCTCCTCCCCGGTGAACTTTCACTCACTCTAGCCCCTCTGTTCAGAATACCATTTTACCTGGGAAACACCCGTCCACGTTGGCTCTGCTTTCAAAAGGAGAGCTCAGTTCTTACCTTTACCATGATGCTTTCTTTGTCTCCTCTTTGTCTCTTCTATCCCATACCTCTGGTTTCTTGTAGGACAGGCTGTCTCTAAGAATCATCTGTTACCTAATCATACCCTTTTTTGCATCATTTTCTACTGTTTTAGAAGTGTTTGCCTTATTTCTCTAATTAGAGCTGCATTTGTCAAGGTCAGCGGTGTATTCGACCGTGACGGCTGTTGTATTGACCTGAGAGTCACTTGACATCTTTGTTGAATATATGAATGGATAGATGAATGAATGAATGGATGGGTGGATGAATGAATATTGATATTCTTTCTTGTCCCTGGTCTCCCATCTTATCTCTCTATCAGCTATTGGATTTCAATGCAATGTAGCCTGAAAAAAAAAGAGTTAAATTAATTAATCCTTATAGGCAATCCCCAATTTTCAAATTAGCTGTGTTTTAGATGTTCATTTGTCAACAGAATGCTAAAATTCAAAGGACTTTATCATAGAGATGCTATTCAAACCAGAGGTTATAATAGGATCCCAGATTGTTACATCCAAGCCCATTGTTGTGTAAGTGGTTTGAAATCCAAGCAGATGAAATGGCACAAATAACAAAACAATGCTGTGCAAGGCCCATGATTAAAACGGAAATGAATTAGAGTGTTTCCCTCTCTATTCTGGGGGGACTGGGATGGAGTGGAAATAATCATGCTTAGGATAAGGCAGATTTTATTATAGGAAAATAAAATGATAGGCAATTTCATGGATTTACTAAAGGGGACTTTTACGTCGCTTTAAAGATACTAGATGTTGATAAAAAAGTGTTTTTCCCCCAAATATACAATTTTCTTCGAAGTTAATGGCTTTCATTTTCTTTTAGACATAGGATTATCGTCGCCACAGCTTTTGTGTGAAATCAGCTTTAACTGAAATCTTCTTGTTCTGGATCAGAAATGGAAAGAATATGTCCATGATGCATATTATGCATAAATGAACGTCGTCTGTTTCTTACCGCCTATAAAGCATTTCTAATGTAAAACACTTTGAAAAAAATAAAAGAAGAGCAGCATTTCATACCATGTGAAAAGATACTGCATTTGAATTTCAGCGCCCATATACCAAGTTTTATCAGAACACAACCGGGATCCCGTGTTTGCTGGACCGTCTACGGCTGCCTCTCACGCTGTGATGTCAAAGAGTCGAGGACTCAGACAGGGACCCGTGTGACCCTTTCTACAGAAATGTTTGCGGACCCCTGCTGTGCAGCCATGGGCTTGGTGAACAAGGGAGACTTTCATAAATGCGACGTGGAGAGGAAAAAGCCAGCCTCCAGAGTGCATGCCTATAATCCACACAACATTAATCTAGGGGGAGATGAGTCTGAAGTTGGTGACCTCTGTGTGGGGTGAGTGCGTTTCCTGAAAGAGGGGGCACTTCTGGGTGCTGGAAGGATCTGCTTCTTGACGTAGGCTCTGGA